TAAATAATTCCAGCTTATTTCTAAACCCAATGCTTTATGTTCTGTTTTAATTAAATCTGCCTTTCAAAATAAGTTAAATACAGTCAGATCATCTTTCAGCCATTTCTTTCCCTTATTGACAATCCTAGCAATTAAAACCCTCTCCCATAGTTCCATTTTCTTTCTAGCCCTTCAATTTTTCTTTTTCTTTTTCTTCCTTCTCTAGACCTTGTTGATTTCTCCCAAGTCCTCATAAGATACTGAAGTCAGAAGCGGACAAATTAGAATATAACTCCCCTTTGAGTCTACAAGAATCAAAGAACCTCAGCTAGTTCACAAACAAATCAGTGTAGAAAAAAATGACATTTCTAATCTCCTGAGCAACACATGATTTAAAGAATAATTAAACTTCCAATGAGTAAATACACTGATATGGCTACTAGTAAAAATTAAATATACTTACCTAATTCGGAAGAGAATTTCAGGTGGCCTTTTTCTGGATCTTCAATATGACCATCTATCACATCATCAATTTTGTTTGCTTTGAAATGTGGCTCTAATACCCGACTTGGACCTCGAGTGAAACGGGGATAGAATTTTTTTGGAAATGGTCCATGGGGCCCAGACCCCTTGATGGGCACATTCTTAAGTGGCTGAGTCACTTCACTGAAGTTGAAATAAACAAAAAGTAAAACTGTCCAGGTCGCGGATGTAAAAAGGCACCCATAACAAAAATATCGAACTGTGGCACTTCCCATTATAGACCTAGCATAGCTGAAGGGTCATTTTCAATTTCCTGAACAAGAAAGATAGATATGTTAGACACTTCAGTACACTTTTAATCATCCACCAAATACACAGTCACTATTTTCCAAACCACCAAGTAGGATCCCTATGCATACAGTTAACAGAGATTCTAATACAAGAAGATACACAGATAGCACTGAATTTTAAAAAAGGGTTCAACAATTAAAACCACAGGCCAATGTGTTAATGCTCAGTGGCAGCAAAATAGGTGACTTAATCATTTGCCCATGTTAAGGGGTATTTCTTCACCTTTGTTCTCGACTGCTTTCAGTTTGGTTATTTTTTCATCAGGCACTAACTTTTCATGGGGAAAATACAAGTACTTCCTTA